CGTTTTTGTTTGCTCTGAGTGGAGAGCTCTTATGTCAACCGGTGTCTGCTGAGCTTCATTCACACTTATTCCTAACAGCTAATGCAAAGTGAAAGACTGTTTACTATCTCCTTCCTTTTGATTTGCTCTTGATTCAGACTTTGTGTAGTCAAGCATGAGGCCCCCTTGGTCGTTTGGAGGACACCTGTATATATGACAACACTTCCATTTGCAGTTACCATTTTGTGGTCATGCTTCTGGTATTTCCATTACATCCGAACCAACTTTTTCTTTAAATTACAGCTTTGTGGGCAAAGTTCACGGTAAGTTTTAAAAAGTTATATACAAAATGTCTACCTAATTTTGACATGTGTGATTGTATGCCAATAGCTAAATGATGATTGCTGGCAACTTTGTGTTTTAGGTTCAATAGGATGTACTTTTTTTTTTTTTAAAGATTTATTTATTATGTATACAGTGTTCTGCCTACATATATTCCTGCACACTAGAAGAGGGCACCAGATCTCATTACAGATGGTTATGAGCCACCATGTGGTTGCTGGGAATTGAACTCAGGACCTCTGGAAGAGCAGCCATCTCTCCAGCCCTTTTTTTGAAATTTTATTATTGTTTTTATTTTGTGTGCATGTACATTTCAGAGGATAACCTTGGAGTTGGTTCTCTCCTTCTATCATGGGGGTCCTAGAGATCCAGCTCAGGTTGTCTGTTTTGGTGGCAAACTCCTTTACCTGCTGAGCCATGTGCTTTTTTTTTTTTTTTTAAATTTTGTTTATACAGGATCTTCCTCTGTGGCTCTGTCTGGCTTGGTACTGGCTGTGTAGCCCAGGCTGGTCTGAAACCTGAGAGCAGTCCTGCTTCAGCCTCCTCAATTATTGGCATACAAGGTTAGTTAGCCAGGACAGTTGGAACACTTGTGCAGTGACATAAAATGTCATGGATAGAATGCATTGGGAATAAGCATTGGGTCTCAGCTTTAGAGAGACATTTGATATTAGAAACTTTAGAAGTTGATAACTGGAGCTGGGTGTTGGTGGCACACTCCTTTAATTCCAGCACTCGGGAGGCAGAGGCAAGCAGATCTGTGTGTGAGAGAGAGTTCCAGGACAGTCTCCAAACCTTCAGAGAAACCCTGTCTCAAAAAACCAAAAAAAAAAAAAAAAAAAAAAAAAGTTGATAACTTGAGCTGGAGCGATTTCTCAGTGGTTAAGGACACTGGCTGCTCTTCCAGAGGACCTGGATTCAATTCCCAGCACCCACATGGCAGCTCACAACTATCTGTAACTCCTCTGGGGGATCTGTCACCTTCACACAGTGTTTTTGTTTGTTTTTTTGTTTTTTTTTAAAGATTATGTATATAATGTTCTGCCTGCATGTATGCCTGCTGGCCGGAAGAGGGCACCAGATCTCATTATAGATGGTTGTGAGGCACCATGTGGTTTCTGGGAATTGAACTCAGGACCTCTGGAAGAGCAGTCAGTGCTCTTAACCTCTGAGCATCTTTCTAGCACCCCACCTTCACACAGTTATATATGCAGGCAAAACACCAATGCACATAAACAAAAAACCCCAAAATTATTAAAAAAAAGAAATTGAGGTAACAGGAGAGATTAGAATGATTGGAAGTCTGCAGGTTGTGAAACTGATGATGAAGGATTTTGGAGCTGGAAGGAAATTTGATAAGAGACTCCTTAGAAGGTAACATTTAAGTTGAGGTCAAAGTCAGGCAGAAGATAGGTATGCACTTATCTGGAGGAAGAATAATGTAGGCCCTGAGGTGCATATAGACTTAGGAATATTATAGGATGTGTGAACAAGCCTGAGTGGGGAGAGAGACCAGGTGGGGAAGTTGGGGAATTTTGGTCCTTTAAATTACTATGTGTAAAGTAGCAAGGATGACGGCATGGAAACTGGAGGTCTTTAAGTCTTTAAGAGTCGGATTTAGGCTGTTTCAGGATAGGTTTTGGACATTGATTTTGCACTCAGGAATGCACTATGGCAGTTCATGTGTTTTGAGTACTCTACTGAATTTAATTGGCTTCAGGGGAGGTCTGTAATTTCCAGGTGATAGTCCTACTTTCTGGCAGTATTTACCCCAAAGGCATTTGGATTGAGACCTGTATGGTGTAATGTGTTAGTTGAATAAGTCTATAAACTGAATGTATGAGGAGCAGATAGAGGCAGAGGATGACAGACGAGACAGAAGTAACTGTGGTCTCCTGGACACTTGGCTATGAAGGAAGGTGGGAAAGTAGCTGGAAATGCAGTGTAAGATCAGGCAGGTTGTATTCCTTTTGCCGTCTCCATTCTAGTGTTGGAGAACTTTGAACATGTCTTGTAGAAATGAAGAGAAACTTCATTAGAAAAAGGGAAGGTGTCAAGTGTAGTGGTATATGCCTGTAATAATCCTGGCACTTAGGAGCCTGGGGCAGGAGGGTTGTGTGTTCCAGTGCAGCTTGGGCTATATATATAAAGACCCTGTCTTTTTAAAACAAACAAAGGAAACGCCTAGGGAGGAAAGTAGAGACTGGAAGAGTTGCAAGATTCAGGCTGTATTATTAAAGTGAGGCCATTCACATTTGGTGGGGGATTACATTTGGGAGGCTGAAGAATTCAGTGACTAAGGTTCTTGGTATAACTGACTAGGGGTTGGAGTTGTTATTTTTTTCAGGTTGGGAAGATTGAATAGATGTTTTTGAAGGGATGAGAAGGACACAAATTTATACTTGGGTGCTTCTTTGATGTATAATATCTAGGGCCTAGGGGAGGGGCCCAGGCTGGAGGTATACTACATAGGATTTAAAACTTGGAAACTGAAGGCAGATACTCAGAGAAGATACAGGTGGAAGAGGTACATGTCTGTGTTCCATTTGTGCAATTAAGTCCTGGAAATCAGAAGAAAGAAAAGGAGCAGCTGGGGGAGCAAGAGGAGAGCCAGTAGCTGCAATTTGAAGACCAAGTGAAATATCATTGAAGGATCCGGTTCTGTTAGATTGCAGATGGTGAGGACTAAAAATTGCCTGCAGCTTCTTAGGATTCAGCAACAGGGAGGTTACTGGTAAAGTTGACAAGTACTGTTTGGATGGAGTGCATTAGGAGATGACTGGGGTTCACGTGGTGCCAGGTAGGATGTAGTAAAAGGAGCATAGAGTGGTGAGGTTGCAGCCTAAGGAGTTAGTAGAGAGTGTGGGGAAGTAGAGGGAGGATTTTTTTTTTTTTTTTTTTTTTTTTTGTTGGGTTTTTCGAGATGGGTTTTCTTGGTGGTTTGGGAGTCTGTCGTGGAACTGGCTCTTGTAGCCCGGGCTGGTCTACAACTCACAGAGATCCACCTGCCTCTGTCTCCCATGTGCTGGGATTAAAGGCATGTGCCACCATTGCCCGGCTGAGGATTTTTAAAATGACCTAACAGTAGTTACGACATGTGAAGGATCATGCCGAGAGGACTTAGGTGTTTTTTGTTTTGTTTTCTCACACGAAATAATTACTTTATTCAAACTAAAGACAAGTATGAAGTCTTTACAATATTGTTTACATGAATAGGGTTTTCTCTTCTACGAGTTCCTCCCTATTATCTGATATCAAGATGATACAAAAAGGATTTAAAATATGTATGCACGAGCAAAACTATGACAAGTTCATTGCTAGGACCTAGGCCAGGTTTTTGAGAACATTCTGTAATTTCTGCTACAAGAATACACAAGGGTCAAATCTTGGTAACAAGCATCAACAGTCACAACCCCACTCACTGACATCACATAATTAAAATTCAATCAAATCTCTAACCAAACAGATTTCCACATGTGATTATTTTCTCCTTTAAGCACTCATTCTTGTAACCCATGTGTTGAGGCATTTAAAGTCTTAAAACTTGCCCTGCATCATGAATTGTTTCATGTAACAGAAAGCATTTGAGAAGGATTGGATTTAGAGAAATCAGTCTATCTCAATGAGGTTTTTTTATGTAATTTAATAAAAGTTTGAAATCAAAAAGGATTATTACCTTATCAATGAATTTGTAGGACTTTCTCCATTAGAGTTTGCAGGTGCAAACAAAAGAGAGGCATCATAATGCTTGGACAGATAGTTGACACATGCCAGATTTTTTTCCCTCCAGAATCTTTATGTTTGCAGATCTTATCAAAGATCCCCTTTATTGACAAATAATCTTTGTCAATCCCTCAAAGATTATTTTGATATGCAAAGTGCACAACACTACCACATTGATTACATTCATAGGGTTTCTCTCCTGTATGTAATCTTTTATGTCTTTTAAGATCTCCATGACTTGCAAAAGTTTTACCACATGGACTACATTCATAGGACTTCTCTCCAGTATGTGTTCTTATATGTCTTTTAAGATTACCATGACTTGCAAAAGCTTTACCACACTGATTACATTCATAGTGTTTCTTTCCAGTATGAGTTCTTTTATGTGTTTGTAGACTACTAACACATGAATAAGCTTTACCACATTGATTACATTTATAGGGTTTCTCTCTAGTATGTGTTCTTTTGTGTACTTGTGGACTACTGACACTTGAAAACGCTTTATCACATTGATTACATACATAGGGTTTCTCTTTAGTATGTGTTCAATGATGTACTTGTAAATTACTGTGCTGTGAAAATGCTTTACCACATTGATTACATTCATAGAGTTGAGGACTAGATGTTTTAAAAGGGGGCACTTGCTGTACTGATTGATAGGGCCTTGGTGAGAAAGGATGGGATCAAATGTAGTGGGAAAAGGAGAGTTTCAGGCAGGAGCATGAATATTTCATAACCAAGTAGATTTTTATAGCTTTTGAATGCTTTCTGCCTTGACGAATAAGTAAGTCAGTCCACATTGCCTAAATTCTGTGCATTAGTCATCAATTTTTTATTATTACTAGAGACAGTCCCCTAAACTCTTGGTCCTCTTGTCAGTTGCAGGATATAGACTCAAGCTTTAGGACTTTGCTCATGTGGTGAGGCAAGTGGTTTACTGCTAACCATCTCCCCAGACCTCTTCTTACTTTTTGGTTTGAGACAAGATTTCATTAAGGTTATCCAGGCTGGTGTTTTTTTTTTTTTTTTTTTTTTTTTGTTTTTTTGTGGATTGTGGGTTTCTTTGTGGTGGTGGGGCCGGCCCTGGAACTAGCTCTTGTAGCCCAGGCTGGTCTCGAACTCACAGAGATCCACCTGCCTCTGCCTCCCGA